AAAAAAACACACCACTGAAAACAGCACATCATTTACCTTATCAGATAAGGAAATTAGTTTTCTCATTTCTCCGTGATTCTTTTGCGTTTAAAACATTATATTTCGATGACGTCACGTTGATGTCATGTGACGTCATACTGAGAATTTTGTGTGAATTTTGTTTTTTTACACTAGAAATAAATTTTCAGTTTTTTTAAATCTTTTAAAATATTAAATATTAAAATATTTTTGATGATGGTACCAAAGATTTCCTTTATTAACGTCACTTTCATGATTTGAATTTTCATTTTTTAAATGTTTAATATGACTTCAGAAAAAGCCCAAAATTCATCATTGTTGCCTCAAAGATATAGGAGATGCTAGCAGCATGCTTCCCTTCGAATCAAAAGATGATTTTCTGAAAGGCGTCATGTGCTGTTTAACGACGCGCGCGTTGCTTTTAGCGTTTCCAGATGGATTTCCTCAGAACGTTTGAGATGTGCTAAATGGAGAAACCTGAGGAGAGATCACGGGAAAAAAGCAAAGAGAAGAAGAAAAAGAGAACTGAGAAAAAAAAATAGAGAAGGAGTGGAAATTCTTGGTCGAGGTACAATGGCGAAGAAGACGAAGAAAAGGAATTTGCCAAATCCTTATAACACATTTTTGAATACTCCAATTGTTTGTTCGGTGTGAGTCCAAAATAATACTTTTTGCTTTTCCTCAGTAACTACTAATAGATCGTCTCCTTATTACAATCAAATCAAAAAAGCTGGGACTCCCATCATGACACCCCTTGTCTATTCAATCTAACACTTTACGAGGTMAATTGCGATAAAACATCATATCAATTGAAGAGATGAGTTGAGCAAGTGTGGGAGGAAGTCATGCAGGTGACTCACCACGTCCAAGATATTGATAAGTTGGAAGTCAAATTCTACTCGAACCGTCTTGTTAAAGTTGAYGAGTTTCTTTGGGTAACTAAGTTTGTTGTAGCCTTTGAAAATGTCCTCAAAAAGGATGCTGGTATTGTTGCTTTCCTCTGAACCATCTATGATAAAACARTAATTGACTTTTCAGTGTTAAGAGCAATTGTAGAAAAGAAGTACTTTTACTTCATTTTTCCCTGCATGTTCCCAGAGAGCGAGAGCTGTTCAAAGTGCTTCGCCCACTCGTGTAGTTAGATAATGCTGTAACTATACTTAATATAAATTTACGCCGCTAGGCAGGCCTGCAGGACGTCTACATCAGGACACAACACGCGASGCTCAAKCACACATTTCGSAATTAAATAATAGTGGGATGAAACTGAATCTCTTGTTCCAATGATTCGAACAAGAAATCGTGAAAGAGTGATAACGAAATATACGTCAATATACATTTTGGGATTATCTTATCAAATATTTTAGGGTTATCTGGTAATATATAACAATATAATATGTATTCTACTCTATACAACTCTATTTTTCAGCCATCTTGGATGAACTTCAACAACTATTTCTYATTAGTATCTATTGTTKATTCATCCAACATGGCCGCCGCTCTTTTTATCTTTTGAATCTAATCAGGTAATGTACTTACTGGTCAATGATGACATWACCATCAAGAAGATCAAGTGAACCAAAAATGGATTCATTGAAGACCACATAACGATGGACTGACCTATTTGATGGCCAGAAATACAGTMAAATCACTGACTTTGGCAATCTTGAGCTGGCTTATAATAGCATATCATAATTATAATATTGTATGACTTTATAACATAGAGTTGAATCAGCTGTTCAATCCTAAATTAATGGTGTGTTCTTAAAAGCTCTCASTGTCAATTTAAGTAAACACTTTTTCACGTTATCCAAGATATATTGGACATATGTGACATAATAACTCTATAATGAATCCTTCTATACATGTTATATATAGATATTTATAGTACGCGCTCTCTGATTGGTCAAATGTTATTGATTATTTTACTGGTAAAAGCACGGATGCGAAAATATAAAAGCAATAACGAAACAACACATTTTTGTACGTTCCCAGTGAAATAAACCGCGCGGGATATTGGCAAAACAGGAACGCACGAAAATGTGTTGTTTATTGTTTAGCTATTCATCCATTAGTAATCATTGTATTTACAAATCATGATGAGTATAACAGTAGATAACAGTGTTTTTTAACAGAGTTAAAAAARAGTTAAAAAATTTGAAAAGWTTGCTTGCACAGTGAATAAATCACACGACACGAGTAAGTAAGTATTTAGGATTCTTATATAGGCAAGGATTCACATTTASATTTCCGCAAGACTTTCAGAATCCCCTAGTCAATGCTATCTTTTATGATATCACTTTTTGCGACCTGAAMACGTTGATTTTATTATTAGGGTATAAAAAATCTCGGAACACCAGCGCACACCAGCTAAGTCTTTTCTCCAAGTTAATAATGATATAGCCAGCGTGCAGAGTCGGTTCATATTGCCGACTGCACGTGTAAGCTAATATCAATTTGATATTGTATCAAATCGGATCTCATATACTGTAAGAACTACTTTGATTAATTAATAATGACGAGTAACCTCAGTTCTGAAAWCAAGAAAAAGACTTACGGAACGATCCAGTCGGGATCGCCAAGTGGATCCTGGTTGATCGGAATCATTTTCTTACCGATTTACGATTAACAACAAATCAATTATACTTTTCTTCTTCATTCCCAAATTCACTAATTTTGTACACAAAGATTTATGATTCCTTCAAATTCCAAAGCTATGCAAATTAAGCTGTGCAGATTTGTGATTCTTTCCTTGAGACAATTAAGGGACGGACCATTTGATCATTGACTGGTGAAGTGTTTTGTGTATGTGTGTGTKTTTTTTTTTTGTTTTTTCTTTTTGCACGATATTTTTTTCCTCCTTCCAACCTTCCGGTATTTTGAAGTGCTCCATAATTCTTTTTTCTCTGTGTGGTAATGCTCGATATCTTTTTTCACAGAAAAGCCTTACTTGATATCCCCCCTCTCCTCCTGCTCCCATAAAAATGATATAGCATTWCGAACTCAAACAAATTCCGCTGTCGAAAACAGACAGTACTTGTAATCAAGTCTAGCATGCTACCACAAGAAAAATTCCGCTAACTATATACACAAATAAAATTCATGCAGTCGGCAGGCAGTTATTCATTCGAGCTAATTGAAAGTGGCGGATTAACTAAAAAGAAATTTTCTTGACCTGAAATCATCCAGSTAATCTGTCCTGGAAAATTATAATATAACCCAAAGTTACAGCACTAAAGCTTAACTCTCAGAAGAAAAGATCGATCACAAGCTTAGCAATGTGATTTGTTTGATAATGAGATTTAGATCAATGGTACTACCATACGATTTAGACTAYGTTGAAATGATGTAAAGGAGTTTTAAACTGATTATCAACCAATAAAATGCTGCTAATGACTTCTTTGTTTGCTCGGATTTATAACTAATACAATGTTGGAGTTGAACGGAAATCTCTAAATCATCAAGCGAACAAGAAAGCCAGGAAGAATTTTAAACGAATATACTGTGCATGAGCTCATATAATTTTTGTAATTTGCAAGGTCAGGAACGTGTGATATCATTTTTATTACGCTTTTTGCGCTCTAAAAGCATTTTTCCCTCGAAATATGAACAATCGCTCGGCGGTGAGGCGATGGCACGAAATATTCTGTCTGCCACAGTTCGCAAGTCTTAATCAACTAAAATCCCTAAAAAATGTTCGTTAAAGTAGAAAAGGAAATGTCAATCGTAAAAAAAATCACTAAAAATTATTTCTCTGTTCCTACATCCGTAGAAAGCTAGACGAGCTGAAGACAAWTTGGGCTGATCATGACGAGTATACCACTATGCATTTTTGTTCTGTTAAAAGCATTTTAATTTGTTATTTTTATGAGAGAACATATTTACGGAGGAAAAGAGTAAACTATAGAGTGTAAATCAAAACAGTTTTTCGCTACTAAAAGAATAACAAGACAAAATAACAAGAGAAATTCATGATTATACTCTGAGCTATTCAGTCCTTTATTCTATATTCACTTCAGCTGACGCATTTTAAGTAATAGTAAGTTTGACAAATGGGCTTTTTGAAAATAATTGCTAAGTCAAAATTAAATTGTCAAACAGATAAGATTGCTAACGAAACTGCGACAGAAGAAAAGATTAATTGTTTTTTTTTTGGTTGTAAAACAATTTATTCTTCCCTAGTAAGGGTCTTTTGTTCCACTGCCTACAGAAATCACAATTTTTGGATTCAGACTGAAAAAGTATCAGGTGTCAAGAGAAAATTAACATTGTCCCTCGTTTCAAGATTTGAGATTAATGCTTTTATAAGACTTGAAAAAATCTAGGTTTCATCGTCAGGAATGATCTGGAAATTTATTCATTTACCCTGCAAGTATACACCTGTAGTTGGCTCACTTTTTTGAATYGCTTTCAATAAAAAACCCGTTCCCTTTTTTGGCTACACTTATTTCGAACTTATTCTTCGTCAATCATTCTTAATCCCATAGTGTATACATTKCTCGATCGGTCAGATCGGCAAATCTTTTATTTAATTATCCTGACTTTTGTCATCAATATTTGTTTTTACTCACTGTCGTTTTTACATACCTTGCGTAGTATTTTCTGTTTTTCACTGTGAATGTCAAACTCAATAAGACGATACCATTTGAATTGCCCAATAGCACAGAACAATTACTGAYGGTGTACCAGTTGACAAGCGGGCTTCTAGATCAGATCTAGGGCAGTATAAGTCAGAGTTAGCACCTTCTAAAAAATCCGATTATGAAATATTCAAAGCCGTTTCCCAGCGTACACGAGGAWTCTAKAGCAACGTTTTATGCCAGGACTTAYATCTAAAATAGTCKACTTTTAAACTCAAGTTGACAAGAGGTGTCAAAATGACAGAAATTTTGATATATTTTCAACTTGATTTGCAATTCTCACTTGTTAATGTTCTTTTTGCATTTTGCATGCGTCTSACTGAGGGAGTTGATGTAATCTGCAAAATTTTCACTACTTATCAAATTGACTTTACCGAGACAATATTATTCAAACGACATCTGGCAGACTTACTTAATAAGGTAATCACGTTGTTGCTTGCGGGGTCACGTGATCTAGAAATTCACCAACTTATTCARTTCTGGTTGAAATAGAAGTGTTTTTGCGTGATTATTGCTAGACCACTGAGAATAGACTAAAACGCAAAATATGAAGGAGCTTAAAGATGTTAGAGTCATATATAATTAAGAGAGTTTCTCTCGGTCATTGACTAGAAAGAGCGAATATCAAAATGAAATTCAATTACAGAAACAAAAAAGAAATAAATATTTCACATGAAGCAAAATAAATAGAAGATACAACAGATAAAACAAAACTTTTGTGGCGCCGTTTTTTTTTCTGGATGAGTGTATTCCATTTGTGACAACAGTCAAGATTATCAGTGATATGATAATTACTTTTGTGCAGTACCAGATTTTTTTATTTTTTACCTGGTAACTTTTTTCTTTCTTTAAAAAACGTTCAGTGTATTATTGTATTTTGGTTAAAGTTTGTATTTGTGTATTTTCAATTCAAAGTATCGCAAAAACAATAACTACTGAATTTCCATTCTTTATTTTGTACTTCGCGACCATCTTGGAAAGTGAACTTTACCGTGACAACTTGCTATATTGTCAATAAAAAATAAAATCAAACGGTTATACATAACGAAAACACTTTGTTTAATTTTTACAATTTAATTGTCTGGCTACCATCGAAACAGCATTATTTTGATCAGTAGAAGCTAATGAGTCTAAACTGCCATAATCTTTTCATTAAATACGATATAAATCAAAATTATTGCACTGTACATGTGAAAAGGAAAAACCGAGCAAGAATTTTGTATGCAACCATAAAAATTACTCGGAACAGTTACTAGTTGGTTTAATGGTTTCCCATCAAAACAGCAGCTGAACAATAAAAACTATAATCCTTCGTAACTTGCAACACGAAAAACGAGGTAACATTTAGCATTTTAACGCTATGGAAATAACGTGAACCGCTTTAACGGCGATGATTTTGGTCTTTTCCATCAACATTCAGAGAGCAATAAAAATTGCCACACGTATAATTTAAATAATATGTCGGTACCAATTTTCTTCAACGATTTTATAAGTTTAAAAGGAATGAATGATTTTTCACAAATTACAAGAGCAGCACTCAGAAATTGCATAATTTTTGCATTTCAGCTCTGGGGGTAAAATTGCGTGCAGTTTTTGAATGGGAGACAGACTGTCTACACTCGAACGAAGGAGAAAGAAAATCGACACAGAACCGAATTATCAAATTAACCAAGATGAATGGATATGAATGTTTTAGTTAAAATTTCGTGAAGAAAACAAAGTGGAGTGTGAATTTTCCTACGACAATCTGAACCACAAAATAAATCTCAGTTATAACAAAATTTAAATATTGATATGTCAGGTGATTAGCATACTTATAAGTTTATTTGTAGTTGATACACCTAAAGCAAGCTTTGTTTTCCATGGAATCTGGCTGCGAGCCGAAGTGGACGAGCGACAGTTTCGTTTGTTAAGTAAAAAGTCTTTTGTATTATTCGCCGGAGGGGATAAATTAAATTTTAAAAATGACTAGTAATAGGCTTTCTTGACGCTATGTTGTGAAATTGTATAAATGTAATTCAATCAAAATAGAGTGGTTGTTTAAAATATATCTTTCATGAAAAATTCCCCTCAAAAAAGCTATCTTAGACTTAGTATATTTTTTTAAATGATGTATTCATAAGGTAATAGTGTTCGACAACGTGGCAAATAAGGAAATAACAYTGACGCAGAGTTAAGCTTTTTAACTGCATATTTTAGCTTAAGCTTTTSATGCTGCATGAAAAAGTTGAARCAAATTTGCAAAGTAAAAATAATTGTAATACATTGAGATATCATTTCTTACCTACTCAACAATCGTTAGCAGTTGACTTGTAGAAGTCAGCTCACTTGATCAAATTCGGTCCTTTTTGAAATTCTCGTTCAGTAACAAAGAAAAAACCCTTCAAAGGGAATGCGATCTTATGAGGTTTAAACTTTTTTGCAAATGTTTAAATGGAACAAAAGGCTTTTGGGGTAGCATGATTATTAAGCGAGCCAATTTACCCAAACGAGAAGTCTGATTGGTTTGCTGTTTGATCTCTTCAGGTGTCACACTCCAAACGTTTGAATCTCATTACGGTATTGTTTCCACGAATTGATATATATATATACTGACTTAAACACTTTGCTAAATATCTTTTATGTACACAGAGTATAGTGTAATTATTATGCAACTATATGTGACGTAATTTACCAAAAATGGAATAGAGGAGTACGCAAATTCGTGTTTTTGAGTGAATAGACCGGAGCTACAGAACTACACATAAACAGCAACGATTGTCAGGTCATAATCCACAAGAAACTCCTAATAATTGTTATTTGCAATGTTCGATCTAGTAAATTTATTCATATAGATAACAAGGGCATGCTAGTTTAGATTATTCAACAATGATAAGCTTTCTATTTTAATCCATGCTGATCTATTTGAAACGAACCGAAGATAAATAAAACGAGTCTAAGGGAGTTCATTTACTTTCAAAATGAATTGCGCACTGAATTAAATAAAAAGCAAGACAAAAAGAGCAAAAGAGCAATTAATTGCAAAGGAAAATACTCCATTAGAAAKAAAAAAAGGCCACCACAYATACCGAAAAYTAGGAAGTAATACTTTMAKAATGAACCATGCAATTAAGAARAKWAACATAATGTKAAATYCGGGAAAATGTGAAAAATAAGGYGAGAGACCTRTATGAAAGAGAAGAAAATGAGAAATTAAATGAAATGATCAGTATACGAGACTTAAGAGAGTCAGACTAAAGAGGCACCATATGATCAGTAGATAACATATAAAAWTCTAAGCGGAAAGAGTCTTGAAGACCAACAAAAACAAGCTTGATGACATCTATAATTTCTCTTTATCAATTTTTCCATCAAAACAACAGCTCAATTTAAACGACTATAATGGGATGTTTACGTCAAAACAAATAAACTACAAACAACTACCGGCTAAAAACATGATGTAGTTTGGTTTAACAGCGATGAAAATTGACTGAAAATAGGATAAGGTCGCTTTTGTTAGAACTAATATAAATAAATCTATTTGAAAAAGCGTTGTCGCCTCAAGGTGACTAGATGAATGGCTTTCTGGGTACTCGGCATCACATTTTCCTCAATGTGTAGATTTCTGAGTGAGGAAGCAATGGTTGTTCAGGGAATACAGGGTTGGGAATAGAAACACTAATAGACTAGTACGAAAATAATAGATGGTGCTCATCTAGTTTTTAACAATGCAACCTTTCACTGAAAACCGCGTTATGTTACGCAATACTTGAAAAATATAATGAAAAAAAATTATTACAAAATAAAGAGGAAAAAACCCAGAAGAAATGAAAAATGAAAAGGATAAAACGGAACTGAAATTACCTGGAAGAGAATGACCTACAAACCACACAGTTTAAAGGATTATTCTCGTYGTCGAGAGGAGATGTCGAGTGTTAGTTAACACAAGCACGAAGCCCTGTGAGATGRGTTTGAGTCAATTCACAGTGGCATATATATGACGTTACAAAGTGAAGTGGCTAACTTCAAAGCAAAATATTTGATTAAAGGAAAGATTTAGACCTCATGAAATAAAATTTCTTTCGGATGAAAGCTGCTTTAGCTGTTTTTCAGAATGACTCAAATTCAGGTATTATATTTCTTCTTTTATTTCCTATTTATATCATATTTCGATTTCTATATTTTTGAAATTCAAGATGGGGGTGGCTAGTCACTCTTATCACACTCCCCCAACACCCCCCTGAATCTGTCCTTGCTTATGTGTGATTCTTTGGTTGTTTAAAGCCTCGCTAGGCCATTCCCTTAGGGGGAGGACGGAAGTTTTACTGATTCAGTTTTTGCCCACTGGAACTGCCCTTACTTGTGTGATATTTTGGTTCTTTAAAGTCTCGCTAGCCATAATTCCCTGATCAGGGGCAGGATGGTTCTTTTGCTGACAATATTTGCGGAAATATTCATGACTGATTCAGTTTAATTGGTGTATAATATACCTTGAATTGTGTGCCATGCACTACGTTGGTTTTTCGAGTTCTTCTCATTTAAAACAGTAACGATATTTCAAATGTAATGAGCCATCACTTGCATGGAGTTTGGACGTTCTCAAGAGCTCTAAAGAAACCAGGGAGGTGGAATAGTGGAGAAACATACTTAGGGCTTTATAACTATCACCTGGAAACACGATATCAATAATGTTCAATTTCGTTTACATATAGAAGAATTGCCTTTTATATCTTCCCAAAAAACGTTCGATGGCAGCATCGCATGATTCTAATACAGGGAAAGAAGCAATTAGGAAGCTCAATAATTTCAAATGATGACAATTATATTGGCCGTGCAATTCAAAGTGTTTTAGTTTCTTTCAATCATGAGTGCGGCGGATTTTTTTATTTGCACGATTTTTTGTGTGTGTCGTTTTTTCTTTTTTCTCGTCTTTTCTTTTGACAGCTTTTTCAGTGTGAGACATTTTGTTCATCAATAGTTTATATCAAGACGAAATTTGAAACGTGTTGAGGGTAGACAAATATCTATATATGAAGAATTATCAGATGAAGGAGCAATCAATACAAGCTTTAAACTAGACGCTCTTAGAGCGCTTACTCAAGCTGCAGCAAAGAGCGACAATTTGGCCTATAGTTTCACATTTCTCAAGGATTGATTTGCATATTGAATCAAAATACGAGAAGCTACATCATTTTTTCCCACGGTCACGTGATATGCAAAGTCACATTCCTCAATTAAAATATTTCGTTGACAAAATCGTCAAGGTCAAGCTGAATGGAAGGAACTCTGTTGGAGTTAGTTGCCCACGTTTATTAGTATACATAGTCAAACAATAAGAATAAGAAATTTCCTCGCGTTTTTCCACGTTCCCGTGATGCTGGACGCCACATAGCGTGTTTGACAGGTCAATGATACCAGGTGAAGTTTGTTTGCCGGGGTTTGATTTACAAATAGTTAATTCAGGAGGAATTGCATTAAATTTTCCTACAATCACGTGATGTGTGTCGTCAAAAGGCTTCGAAGTGAACTGTGCAACAAGCCTACCTGTGTCAAACATATCTTTGAATTGGGCTGTATTGGTTACTTGTTATTTCCCAAAACGCGATATAATAGATACATAGTTTGAATTGATAGACCAAAACTCGGACGCCCTTCGGACAGTGTGAAAAGATAAAAAAGTAGGTGAAAAAGCTTACATTTTTAGTTAATATTTCTCTTTTTACACAACTGTTTCTTTAGAAACACCGACGCAGATAACACTAATTTACCTCTAGTTTCTGCCCCTCGGACAGCCCGAGTAATAAATGCTACAGATCTGTTTCATTTCATCGAGGATATCTCTCTGTTGCGGAAAATCGCAAATTTTTGAAACGCGATTTACGGGTTTTGAATGCACTTTTATGTGCGGATTTCGGTATGAAATATCGTATTCAATAAAAATATCGAAAAGTTGGAAAAGCAACGATTATAGCTAATTAATTTTTTTTATCGGCGGTTAACGGAATAAAGGATAAGAAAAAAATAAGCAGTGTTGAGGTATGACAACACTATTAAAAGATCTCGCGCAACTTGTAGATTGATAACCCTTTTTTTCGGTTTTCTTCAGAAACTGTATACGTTAACAGCAAAGTTAGATGTGATCACGTGCTTACGATATCGATTCGAGGCATATCGTGGACTCGCTGTAGTGTATCAATAAACTTCGAGTGTATCAGTTACGAGCAGGGCAGCCCTCAAGAGTATAAACACTAAAGTTGCCCACGTGCAAAGCTACTAAACCTCCCTCCTGGCAATAGACCATTTTGCGGTTAAGACCAAAGCGGGCAACACATTTATCGTAGTCCTCAAGTGAAGGTTTGAAAATTATGACTTTATTTCACCGATAAAAATCATTTTCCTGACATTACAAAAAGATAAACAAGCTCGAATAGGATAATTTTAAGTTGTTACCCGATTCTGCCTCGCTTTAGTGCAAAACCACAGGCCCATCGCGAGACTTGTAAATTTTTTGACCACGAAAATGGATATTATCGCGCTTTCCTTCATAGTATCAATGCTACAACGCGGGTCAAAAATCAATGAGATTGTGGTAAAAATCGTAAATAAATAAAGTTGTGGTCTGGACATTTCTTGCATTCATTATAACAAAAAGGTGATAAGAGGGTTTTCGGTTTCTGAACGATTTTAAACTCAGTAGTTTGGCGATTCCATTGCCTCTTACTGATACTTTCATATAATTCTAAAAAATAAAATCAAGTTTAATTTCTGTAATTTTATCGAGGTTTTCGATCAAATAACGAATGGCCGTAATATTAAACATCCCACACATCAACTACAAATCTATTTCTAAAATATAGGATATTCCATTGTCGCGCGGAGATACTAATTTTTATCATATGACCCATATTTCGGCCTTACGCGCGCTCTTAAAAAACCTTTGGGAAATGGTCACGTGAAGGGGCCGTACGCCTTTTCGCTACAGGGCCGTACAAACCCGTATTTTCCCGCCTTGAAGTTCCGCGCGCTTTTATTTATTTTTTAGATTAAAAAACGCTGTCATATAATAAAGTGCTTATTGACTGAGTTAGGTCGGGCCGTACGGGAAAATATTTGGCTCTCGGTCATTTGTACGCGGACCTCACTGCGCTCGTTCCGTACGGCCAAATACTTTGCCGTACGGCCCTCCCACTCAGTCTAAAAGTACATAATCTTCGAGTGTTGAAAAGATCACGAGTGAGCTAGCGTAGCGACCATGTAATATTCCTCTATGTTTACGTAATGGAGAAATATAGGTCTTTTATAGATGATAATATGATAAATGCAAATATCTAATCCAGTAAGCGCTATATGCCGTTGCATGCACTGTTGCAATGGCAAGTTGCTGGAAGAATTGCACAGTGCAATCAGTGTAAGAACTTTCTGTCGCTGCATAGA